ACGGAAGGTTTGATATTAGAATAAATTATGATCGTTTCAAACGGAAGGTTTGAAATTAGAATAAATTACGATCGTCACAAACGGAAGGTTTAGGTTTGAGATTATAATAAATCTATCCAACGGATAGTATTTTATCCAAATAATACTGCGACTTAGGCCATATACCCGGGTTTAATTTGGGGTTGCACAATTTGGTTTGTCTCGAGACAGGAAAAATAGCCCAAATATTAACCAAATCCCATACACAATAAATAAATAATATTTATTTATTTATTCCACATTAATCTAATTAATTTGATACACCGGCCCGTCGCATTTTTACTCACAAAATAATCAATTGCAAAATATCCAACACATAGAGAGGTATATATTATAAAGTTTGGATTATATACAAAGGTATATATTAGAATATGGGTGAGCATTGGTCGGTCCAAACCGAAAAAACCGAATTTGTTTTTCGGTTTGGATAGATCGGTTTTATCTATACGGTTAATTGGTTCGGTTTGATCTAAGACCGAATTTATAAATTTGGGTTTTGGTTCGATTATGGTTTTCAATTTTCAAACCAAAAAACCGAACTTTAAATAAAATAGATTTTATATTTTATATATCTTATAATTTTGATTGTATATTTGTATTTCAATATTTCATCTATTTGTAAGTTGTTGGAAACATGCAATTTATGATGAATGAATCTGCATTGGTGATGGAAATATATTGAATGAATGGGTTCAAGCATCACCATTTAATTTCATAAAATTCGGTTTGTTTGGTTTAAACTGAACCGAATCAAATTAATTTGTTTTGGTTTAGTTTGGTTTTACAAATTTTGGTTCGGTTTCAGTTTTGATCTTTACAAACCGAAAACAGATCAAAATTCAAAGTTCGGTTCGGTTTGAACTGAACCAACCAAATGCTCACCCTTATATTAGAAAGTTTGGATCACCTATCACGTATACATGACCAGAATGCAAGTAAATATAGACAACCTCTTAAAATATCATGCATTAGTTTAAAGTAGTCGGTGATCAGAAAAGTCTATGTCAAAATATAACATAAACTGCTAAGTACCCCTACTTGACTATAAATTTAAGCTATTCATCAATCCGACTATTATAATCACATCCCAAACATTCAAATTGGATTAGACAGACCCTCCGGAGCCTCTGCTAAAATTGTTGTAGTAATTTTAGCCCTAATAGCCTTGACATCATCGAATTCGGACGAACAAACCACCTGGTGGGTAATGATTTTCATCGTCTAAAACGTAACTCTCAACGTACATGCATACAAGTGGCCCACAATTGAGACTCTCACCATGGCATCTATAACCGTCTCTTCAGTCCAGCATCTAAAAAACTTCCTCCACATATCCAAATGGTGTGAGTTGCACAGGTTTAAGTTGTTTGTCGTTTATCCTAACTTACTAATCTTTTATTTGAGGCATAATTAATTAATAATGAAGGCATACCAAAGGCAATTGAAGACATTCGCAAACAATATAAAGAACAAAGAAAAATTTTACTAATCGAAAAAAAATAGATACATTTATAACCAATCCCATGACAGAGACATAGTCCAACCCTTAGTACTTAAAGACTTACCTGACAAGAAATGTTTTGCCTACGGTATTTGAAAAAAACAAGAAGCACCGCCCGCCTCACATCTCAATTATTTTACTATAAATATAAATTTAGAAAAATACAAATTAAGGTACTTCTAAAGAAAACAAGATCATTTGTAATTTTAAACATATCAAAATAACTCATATTCGACTCGATGGTGCAATGCAATGTCAAAGTAAAATGACCCCTCACTGAAACTTCTACAAACCCAACCAAAGCACAAATAAAATAGATCAAAGTACACCATGAACTCAAAAACTAGATCCTACCAAAACCATAAACATTAACTTACTTTTTCGAACATTGTTTTTGGGATAAGGTTATTTTTGACATCTCGAACGAGAACGGAGCTCTGGCCGGCGAATGGAGATTTCCGATGGAGGTGAAAGTTTTTTCGATGAAGCTCGACGGTGATTACTTTGGCATGAGGTTTCGACGGAGAAGGGCAGCGTGACAAGGAATGAGTTTTGAAGAAATAACCAAGCCACAACTCGGATGGTGGGTTTTATTAAGATTTTGTTTTGTTTTTTTGTTTGAATTTCTATAACTGATTTCAGTACATAAATAAAATTTCAGGAACACAACTTGATATTTTCTTTGTACAGTGGGATAACTTTGGAGCATGTACTTAGATAAATGTAGATTTATATAAAAATAACGAGAGTATATACAATATTCATTACATTATAAAGTGATTTCAAGAGTAAAATTAGTATTAGAAAATCAAGTGTAAATGAAAATGAAAAAGTAGAAAGTGTAGTGCACTCTCAAAATAAAGAATAATTGAATTTAAATGTATTTTAGCTCAGAAAGATTTAAATTAAGTGCCCCATTAAACAAATCACACAAATGAATAAATATTTATTATGACTAACAAATTGTGTATATTTATCTTTTTGTTAATTTTACATATATAGGCCGTTTATTATTTTATTTGAAGATGTTTCAGTTTTTACTGTTCAATGAGATTTTTTAAATTAGTATTTGATATATAAATTAATTGAATGTATAATGATATAATTGTAATTTATGTAAAAGTTAAAACATATTTTCGTATTAACTTTTGATTATTTTTACTATAATAGAAAATAAATACTTTTAAATAAGACAAAAAAATAGTAAAATAAGTATTTTCAATTGAGATAGAGTGAATACTTTTTTTTTTTTTGAGATTTTGATATTATTTATTTTTTAAAAAATATCGTATCAAATATATTTTTTTATTATAAAATATTATAATAATCATATATATATGTGACAATGCATTTTAATTCGTGTACTCTAATAATGAGTTTTTTTTTAATTTTTTTACATAATAAGTTTGGATAATTAATTAAAATTTGTTAGAATAACAAATAATCTAACAAAATTCCAATTTACGAAGATACTAAATAACAAAAATAAGGATAAAATTAGAGTTTCGTATATCTATATGTATACATGTGTGAGATTAAGCCAAAATCGCCACCTAACGGTGATCTCCGATTTGTTAACCACCTGTTGGATCAATATGAATTTTCAAGAAATGTTTGTAATACATTGCGTTTTCAATCAAAATTTTTTATTGGATGTTCGATCCAAAATTTAGAGAACGTGACATTTTTAGGTTTTTTTTATATTATTATTATTTTAAATTTATAGTTTTCTTTGATTGATTGAATGGTGATTGAACGTGTTTATATGCATTTTTTAAAAACTCTTATATTTAATTTGATTATAGTGAATTTTCTACTTATATCTCGACAACATGTAATTTATTTATTTATTTATTTTTATTTAGAAGGGGTTTTCACGTAAAAATTTGTCTTATTTTTATATTTAATTTACGCATATAATTTGATATCGTTCAAAGAGAGGAACATAAAAAAATATTATTAACTCTTCTATATATTATTTATGTATATAATTTATTATCTTTCTTTATACAGTGAAATTCTTATAATATATATATATTTTTATTTGACTTATAAATTTTAAATTTCATTATACGGAAATTTTATTAATTAATTTTTTTTATTCATATTATAATCCAGATAAAAAATAAAAACAAAAAAGAGAAAAAGACAAATAAAAAGAGAAGAAAAAAATTAAAAAGAAAGAAGAAAAGCGAAGTATTTTTTTTTTCTCATTAGGAGCTTTTGTTTACGCGAATGGGTAGTGTAGCTAGAGCTGTTAACGATCCGAGCCAAATCGAGTCAAATTTTAAGTGTTCGTTAACGTTTGCGAATAAGGTTCGTGTTCGTTCGTTAAACTTTCGAGCTCGTTCGTAGTGTTCGAGCTCGGCTCGTTAAGAATTTTTGTTGTTTGAGCTTGTGTTCGTATTCGGTTCGTTTAAGCTCAATTGAACTCGTTTGAGTTCGTTCGAGTTCGTTCGAGCTCGTTTGTCTTATTTTTTAAAATTTATATATAAATTATAAAGAAAATTTAAAATTTATATATTTTAAATTAATATTTTATTTATCTATAAATTATAATATCATATGTATATATAATATTTATAATAAATATATTATTTAAATGAACGGTCACGAACGTTCACGAACAAAATTTGAGCTCGTTCGTTAATTGAACGAACCTATTTATGTTATTCAACTCGACTTATTAACATTCGCGAACGAATTTTTACCGAATCGAATCGAGTCTGTAACAACTCTAACTCTAACTCTAACTCTAAGGTTTGTTTGAGGGATTTGTTTGGATTTCTACTATTCATCGTTTTTTTTCCCCCAAAACATCAAATCAAATACCTATTTTTCATTTTTTATATTATCATAAAAATCAATTTTACATTCAAAATATCGCATCAACACCTATTTATATCACATCATACGACTATTCAAATTCAAAATTTTTAGTATTGAAATACCGACTCAAAATCCAAATCCTCCGACAAACACACTCTTAACAAACACACTCTAAGTGTAGCTACCTTTCTTAACATCAGTGTGTGCGTTTGTGTTGGGTAAAAAAAGTATATTTATTTATTTATTTTCAGATATTTCCAGATTTTCTCCATCGGTTCCTTCTGGTTTCCTTCTCGTCTCCCTCTTCAATTTTCGAAGGAGAGATGGCTGTCAGAGTCATATGGAAATTGAAAGCAAAGCAGTGAACCACACTCTGACTGTGGCTGGCGGTGAAAACTGAGAAAAGGCTTTCCTCCACACACTGCTCTACTTACTGAGAACTCATCCTCTTCGTAAGCACCAAATAAATATCCGATTCCTCTGCATTTTACTTGGATGATAATTTTGATGGTATTTTCAACCATATTCATGTCATGTGAACCATGCCGATGTTTTTCATTTTCCTAAGTCAAACCCAGTTCATTACTCTTTAGGCTGTGGCCTGAATTCATTTGTGAGTAAATTTGCTTTTGGTCCCTGCTATTTTACTGAAAATACTGTGAATGTTGTCTAGGGTTTGTTGGGTTCCCATTGACTCGTGAAATTGGGGGAGAAACCCTCCATTGTTGCACTGTTCCTGCAGGCATCCATTCTTGCACAGAGCAACAATCTAGCTTCAATTTATTAATTTTGTTTTTGGACTGAAATTTTGTGCGGGCTGCTTCTACTGTTTTTCCCCTTCTTAGAATTCTCCATCGTACAGCATTTTGTTAAGGTTATTGTGTTAGGTGCTTTACTGGAATTAGTTTCGTTGTTTTCTAGATTTCGTCAAATGCATATGAATCTGCTTTATTGATGTTCCTTGTTTCATCTAGTTATTATTTTCGTATGCTAATTTTTCTGTTTCAGGCGGTGACACAGAAAGAAGGCTCAGAGTTTGGGGCATTTTTGTTAGTTATTACTGTTCTGAGAATTAGGGTTTTGGCTTTTAATCAGAAACGGCGATTGAAGGTTTCTAGTAATGGCGGCTAGCAAATCCCTTTATCTCATGCCCCCTGATACTTGTAGGTCTGTAGGTTTGTTAACTGTTTCTGGGGTTAGAGTTTCTCCATTGAGAATGTATGAAGAAAGGAACAATGTTTATCCAAGCTTAGGTCAGAAAAATGGTTCAAAAGTTTCCCATCTAAGATGTTCGACGAACTCACACAACGTTAGTCATTTTCAAAGTAAGGACCCGTTCCTAAATCTGCATCCAGAGATATCAATGCTTAGAGGAGAATCGAACTCAACCATGACCAACCCAAAAGAGAGTACTTTAGGTGGAAATGTAACTGAGAGCTTGAGAGATTCCTCAGATTCGAACAATTTTAACGAGGCCAAGATCAAGGTTATTGGTGTTGGAGGTGGTGGCTCAAATGCGGTTAATCGAATGATTGAAAGTGCAATGAAGGGGGTTGAGTTCTGGATTGTTAATACGGATATCCAGGCCATGAGGATGTCACCGGTGTTCTCAGAGCATCGTTTGCAGATTGGCCAGGAGCTGACCAGAGGACTTGGTGCTGGCGGGAACCCTGATATTGGAATGAATGCTGCTAAAGAAAGCAAAGAATCTATAGCGGATGCCGTTTATGGAGCTGATATGGTCTTCGTTACTGTAAGTTGTTCCTTATTGGTTGCCAAACCTTATGGAGAGTAATCGAGCAAGAAAGATTAAGTTTAGTTTTCTTACAATGCAAACTTTTATGCAGGCTGGAATGGGTGGTGGAACTGGTACAGGTGGAGCTCCGGTGATTGCTGGAATTGCCAAATCTATGGGCATTTTGACCGTGGGCATAGTCACCACTCCGTTTTCTTTCGAGGGGAGAAGAAGAGCTGTTCAAGCCCAAGAAGGAATTGCAGCTTTAAGAGAAAATGTAGACACCTTAATCATCATCCCCAATGATAAATTACTAACTGCAGTTTCCCCATCCACACCAGTAACTGAAGCGTTCAATCTTGCTGATGATATTCTTCGGCAAGGAGTTCGTGGCATATCTGATATAATCACAGTATGTCTGCTTATGTTGGCTTTACCTTTTTGAAATTCTTAGTATCATGCTTTCTTGAAATGGTAAAGTTATTGGGTTAGCGATTCTAGGATATAAGATATTTGGCATGCATAAATCAATATTCGAGAATTATGCATGGAATAGGCGAGTAGGAACAGGCATAATTGGTGCGGAAAATGAGTTAGTGTTATTAATTAGCGGTGACGTGATTCAATAAAAAGTTTAATGACGCGCAGGTCTGAAAATCTACAGATTCTAATTTGTATACTCTAGAAGTTCATGGAATTGATTAACCTGCTGCATTGTGGGCAGATCCCAGGACTCGTAAATGTTGATTTTGCTGATGTTCGAGCTATTATGGCCAATGCTGGCTCTTCATTGATGGGAATAGGGACAGCCACAGGTATCAACGGGCGGCTATTCCTTATTTCATTTCAGTTTTTATGTTGCTCGTTGGATGAACTTCATTTTCTTCATTGTGTTTTCTCTCTTTTTTTTTTTCCTTATGAATTCTTATTTTGTTTCTAGTCTTATTACTTGGAAAGGGATTTTTCTTGTTTCCTTTTTTTTTGGTGCAGATGAGGGATTACTATTCACTAACTTTTTCTTTTAAAAAATATCAAATTAAACGTTTATTCTTCATTTTTTATATTATACTAAAAATTAATTTTACATTCAAAATATCACATTTTAACACTTATTTATATCAGAACTATTCAAATTCTAGTTTTTTACTATTCAAAATCCAAACTCCCAACCAACATTATGGCTATCCATTTTGTTATGTGGACAACTTTCTGCTGTATTCGTAATGATGCAGGAAAGACCCGGGCTAGAGATGCTGCACTTAATGCCATCCAATCTCCGTTGCTGGATATTGGCATTGAGAGAGCTACTGGAATCGTTTGGAATATAACCGGCGGCAGTGATCTCACATTGTTTGAGGTTGGTTACCTCCGACAGACTCTCAACTTTTGCCTACACAATTCAGATTTTTTGTTTTGAGGCATGGAGCTATGTAGCTTTTGCATATAATATATATATTTTTTGATAGGAAAAAATGGCAGTTTGGGATCACATTCTTCTTTACCAAGTGATTAGTTCTTTATTGTGCAATTAAGGTATGTTTGTTGACATAAAATGGCAGGTAAATACTGCCGCGGAAGTTATATATGATCTAGTGGATCCAAGTGCCAACTTGATATTTGGTGCTGTGGTCGATCCTTCCATAACGGGACAGGTATATTCAACTATTCAAGTTTACCTCCAGAAGCCTCAGTCATTCGTGCTGTTTGGTTGCTTTTATAAATAGTAGAATTTTGAATTTGATATTTTTGATGTGATTTAAGCAAATACTTTGAATGAATCCATACCTTAATCCAGGTTAGCATCACTTTGATCGCCACCGGTTTCAAACGTCAAGAAGAAAGCGAAGCAAGGCCCCTCCAGGTATGGGTATCTATTAAGCAATACAGACACCCATTTTCTTGGCCCTAAATTAATGTTTCGTCGAATGCAGGCAAATCAGATCTCGCAGGGAGACATGAGCCTTGGATTCAGCCGGCGACCTTCATCCTCCATCGAAGGTGGAGGAGTGGAAATCCCGGAATTCCTGAGGAAGAAAGGGCGCCCTCGATTCCCTAGAACCTAATCCATTCATTGCTTGGAGTGAGTGATCCTACGTTTGTCACAGCTACTAGTAATAACAACTTGATATATGTATATATATATGTAATATGCATATATACATATACATATAGAGTGAATGTAGGGAGAGTATACAGCAATATAATATGAGATGATTCAGATTGAGGCTGTTGATTTGTTTGTTTGTATTTGCTGTCTGATTTTTACTCAAACATCTTCTGATACATGAATTCTCTGCTTACCTTACAAGAATTTAATAAAGATATATATATATATATATATATATTGCAGATATTTTATATTGTGGTATTATGACAGATGAAAGAAATCACCTAACTTCCGGTGGGGCAACAAGTGAATGTTCTTACCTTTTAAGGGTAAGAAGGGGTAGAAAAAATGTGTCTATGTTTCAACTTATAAAATGGTGTGAGTTAGGAATTCCTACAGGCTCCAGGCTACATGCACTGACCTTATGTTTTGTTGAACCGGTAATACGAGTAGAGCTGTTAAACGAACCGAGCCGTTTGTGAACTCGGCTCGATTAAAGCTCATTCGCGAACGTTAACGAGTTGAGCCGAACAACATAAACAGGTTTGTTTAATTAACAAACAAGCCCAAGCTTTGTTCGTGTATCGTTCGTTTAAATAATATATTTATTATAAATATTATATATACATATAAAATTATAATTTATAAATAAATAAAATATTAATTTAAAATATATAAATAAAATAATTTTAAAAATTCTTTATATTTTATATAAAAATTAAAAAAAAATAAGACAAACGAGCTCGAACGAACTTAATTGAACCTAAACGAGTCGAACACCTCAAACAACAGAAATTCTTAACGAGCCGAGTTCGAACACTATGAACGAACTTGAAAACTTAACGAATGAACACGAGCCTTGTTCCCGAACGTTAACGAATACTTAAAATTTGGCTCAGCTCGGATCGTTAACGGCTCTAGAGAGCAAGTGTAAGATTGAATCACAAACGATGGTGGAATGAACGCAACCAACATTAATAACAAGCCCCGGTGGATTTGTAGTTGGTGTGTATTTGGTTATTTTAATTTAAAAATTCAATATTTTTTTTCTTTTTTCTTTAAAAATAAAACAATTTAAATTGAATAAAAAATTTCAAAGTTTCAAAATCCACAAATCTAAAATTTGAATCAAATAAAAAATAGTGAACTCTAAGTAATAAAATTTGAACCAAATCAAAAAAATTGAAATGATATAATATATCTAAAAATTCAAAATTTCTATAATTTGATTTCTTTTTATAATTTTATCAAAATTATATATAATAATAAAATTATTAAGATATAATTATGAATTTTATATTATAAAATATTATACTTTTATTAATAAAATATATTAATATATACTCATATTGGTTCAATTTTCATCCGAATCGATTCAAAATTTTAAAATTTTTGAAAAAATTAATCAGATTTAATCTGAAAAATTCAAATTAACATTTCTTTTTATTTTAAATTCGAACTATATATTTGAATTTCAAATATTTTGCTCACTCATTATTTGTAGTAGCATTAATGGGCCAATCCATAAACCATTGCAACTGGGCTGAGCCCAATAAAAAGCAATAACAACACCCAACACTTAATGGGGGCAATTGAATGAATTATGGTAACTTTATTTGTAATACTCTCCTGCAATTGAAGGCCGAAATCAGCAACCTACAACAAATAAAAGAGACTATTGTGAGATTATTTAGGAAAGAGTTTTTTAAAGAATTTTAGGTTGTTTGGGCCAGAAAAATGGAAATGGTATTATTTCTCTTGTTTGTTTGAGTCAAGAGAAATGAAACTTGAGAAATAAATCATTTCCATTTCTCTGTTTTCATTTCTCTCTCATATGCGAGAAATGATGTTGCAGTATATATCTTTTAATTTTTAAAATTTTTTGTACTATTTAATTTGTATAATTTTTTTAAAATTATATTATTTTAATTTTACAAAAAACAAACTTAATTTATTTTTAAAGTATTTAATTTTTACGACATTTTAAGAAATTGTACTAAAATATAATCTTAAAAAATATCGTATATAATTTATAATTTTTTTTAAAAAAAATTTACCAAAAATATTTTTCATGAATTCTCAATCGTTAAAACTCTCTTTTTATCGTGTTAATCATTTATTTTTCTTTGCTCATTCATATATCTGTATTTTTTTTAGATTTTTCAAATCAATTCTCATTCTCATATATCTGTTTTATCAAACAAGAGAATTAATTTTCATTCTCTACTCAATTCCATTTCTCTCCAATTCTATTCTCTACTATCATTTATCTGCAATTCCATTCTCTGTACCAAATGCCCCTTAAGTCATTTCATTAGCGAATTTAGGTGTCTCATAAATCAGTTTTTTAAAATAGTTTTTTAGACCTAAAAAATTATTTCTAAACTTGAAAAATAAATAAAAGTAAAAAACAGAAGTAGAATCATAAGTTAGAAGAAGTAGTTCGATTTTATATTTGGATGATCATTATAAAAGCAGATTTTCATAAAGATAAAAAAAAAAAAAAAAACTATTTGAATGTAATAGAGTAGAAAGTGCAGTTAAAATTACTCCAAAAAGACGTTATTGTATTTTTCTATAAAACTTTTATAATTTATTTTTAAAATTTATTAATTATATTTAAATATTATAAATAAAATTATAAAAATATATTTTTAAATTTTAGTTATTTATATTTTAAAATTTTAATTTTAAAAAAAATATACAAAATTAAAACTAAAATTACAATATAATATTAAATTTTTCGTAATTTTCATTTTATTTAAAATTTTATAAACTATATTTAATAATTTTAATATAATTAAAAAATTGATATGCTCCTATTTAAATAATACTCCCTCCCTCCTATAACACTATCTACCTAACATTTCCGTCCCATACCACTATTTACCTAACATTTCCGTCCCATAACATTATTTACCTAACATTACAAATACCTTTACAACTATATTACACAAATGTCATTATCTTTATATCACACAATACTAATAAGGTTATTTTAATAATTTCTAATTTATTCCTACTGCATCCCAATATAATATTAATATTTCTAAAAATAATTGGACGGAGGGAGTAATATAATAATTTTTTTTTCTTTTTTTAAAAATATAATATAATATATATTAATTATTTTTATATTATATTATAATTTTGTATTTTCTTATTATTATAATTAAAAATAAAATAGTAATTTTATTTGAAAAATATTTCTATTTGTTTCAACTACTTCAATGTGCTTCTAAAAAGAAACACTTATGAGCCTCAAAACTGCTTATGTTTTTTTTTACAGAAGCTAACAAAATATTTTTTTAAAATTAAAAGCCAAAAGCTACTTGTAGAAGCCAATTCAAATGGCCCTAACTTATTCAACGTTTTAAAATAATTTTTTTAATTTAATTTTTTTGTTCTTTATTTGTCCATAAAAATTTATCATGCATTTCACATACATATAAATATATTTTTATTTTTAAATTATTTTAATATATTTTATTACTATATTATAATTTTACTTTTATAGATTTAAAATAACTAAAATCAAATCAAATCAGAATATAAAATATAAAATATAAATATGAATAATTTATTTTTATATTAATAATAATCAAATAGAATAAATTTAATGAAAATATATAAATATAATGAATTAATCAAAACAACAAACATAATAAATATATATACGAAAAATTTATTATTTTACATTTTATATTATTCTCAACAAAAAATTACTTATATTTTTTTTAATAAAAATAGTAGTATTTTCTTAAATTTAAAAATTAAAATAAATATTTTATAACGCTTTCATAATTTTCAAAACTAATAATTAAAAATTTCAAAACTTCTATACCCTCAATTGAATAGTTTAATAAATAAAAATATAAATATCATATTGTTATTTTAGCTAATATCAAACAACTACTTACCAAATATCTCAATATAAACAATTAATTAAATCAATTAGTCAAATTAACCAATTGAATCAACTAACAACTAACAATTAATTAAATCAGTTAACAACTAATTGTTAAACACACTATTTTATTTTGTGTTTTGATTTGAAGTATATTTTTTTATGTGAATTATAGAGAATTATGTGGGTGATATAAAAAATAATGTTTTATATTGAATGTTAATTTTTTTGTGAGAAGATAAAATATAAATTATATATTCGGAATCGGATCGAAAAACAAATATTGGGCAAACAACCCTAAGTTTTCACATATGAAAAATAAATTTACTTTCAAAGTACTTTGCCTCTAGAACAACACATATGAGAAATAAATATACTCTTACTACTATAATACATAACCAAATAATAACCAATTTCAATATGTTTAGTCTATTCATAAAACACAACGTAGCAACAATATGTAAAGTATTTGTATTATTCTAAAAGAGATCAATATGAACGTTGCGATCAATACATAAATCTTTAAGAGCGCTAAAGAAATCAAACAATTTTGGCACGTCTTGTATATTGTTTTTTTCTTTTAAAAGACATCGGGAAAGTGAAAATCAATTTACATTCGCAATTCAAAATGAAACCAAGCACAACAATATTTGTGAAGAGGCACATAACGCAGTAAAAATTATAAAGAAATTGTAGCTCAAGTGGTTGAACTACACTGTGAAATATAATAATAATAAGAGACCGTAAAATTAATATTACAAAAGCAATATTGTGAATTGGAAAATATTGAATAAATTACATATTCTTAAATATCCTAAAATATTGTAGTTAGCCAAACAACTTCTACTACTATCAAACTCTTGGGCAAGTTCAAGTGTTAAAAATTAATCATCTTTTTAGGCTTTTGGACATACTTATACTTTCTAATTAATAATCTTTTTAGGTTTTTGGAAATATTTATACTTTCTTGGATCCTCAAACAACTACTAACTCTAGACATCTTAATTGCAAATCAATTGGACAGAGAGATAAAGAACATATTCTAAGGGTGTTTTCTTGTATATTATTTATGCTCAAACTAGAAAAGATATATCTTTATGCAGAAATAATTACACTACTTCAAGAATTTCACCTCATTTTTTAGGTACCTAAGGAATTATTACCACAAAAAAGTATGGATCATAGAATCCCGCTTAAACCTAATGTTGAACTTATTAAATAATATGCTTATAGGTACCATTTAATTCAAATGAGAGAGAGAGAGAGAAATTGGTAAATGAAATGTTATATGTTGGAATTAAAAGGCCGTGTACCAATCCTTATTCCTCACTTGCCTTGC